AAGCATTGTTAAAACTGGAAAACTTCATCAAATTTCTAGTTGAATAATACATGCTCTGTGGCTAATTCATTTGCCTTGACCTATGAACTCATGTTAACCTAATTTAACTCATAAGTAAGACACTAATCCGTTCGCCCAGCTGCTGAGAGACCCACTCACTTCCTAAACACATACGAACATTTTACAACAAGCATTAATTTTGGTTAATAACTTTATAAAGGCAACTCTAACTAACGCATACATAAGCATATCAAACACTTATGCACGCATCCGCTTCCTCTCCCACACACACACACACACACACGCGCGCGCCCATCTCTAGGCTTACCATTTTTCACACACACAACGCCTAAGACCCAGGGCCTAGCATAAGACAGTGGGCCTCTCTCTCTAGAGCCGTTAGGCATAAAATAGAATTGAAATAACCATACGATAAGCTCAATTTGTGCGCAGCTTTAGTGGCGCATTAGCCATACATAAAGCAAAGATAGCCGCCAAATAAACTGACTATGTGTGTGTGTGCGAGTGTGCGTGTGTGTGCGTTGATGTGTGCGTCACTTCCGCATGTAATTGTAGTTACAATGTCACAATCACTAGACCATATAAACGCAAGCAAACAAGGCTAGAGCAAGTGGCGAAGACAGCTAACACACACACACACACACACACATAGGCGTAAACAGCACTCACACACATGCATATGGCGCTCGTCCTGCTGCTGGCTTTTGTGTGCGCTTTTAAGTGGGCACTACTCGCCCACTTGGGCGCTTTATTAGCAAAGTGAAACTTAGACAATGCCTGGCAGTCTCTCAGCTCTCGCCCAGCTTGCTCTTGCCACTTGGTAACTAGCCCTAGCCGCACACAGTCGCACACACGCCCACTCCCAGCGCAGTAGAGACGAGCAACTCTCAGCCACAGCATTGCCTTGGTAATATTTACAAGTCACTTGTTTTTATGCCTACATTAATTATGCGCGCTTTTGCCTTTTGCCTTGGTTTTTGGTAACTTTCTCTTGGCTTGTCTTTGATTTTGATGCCATTGCCATTGCCGCTTGCCACAAGTCCTGGCAGGCTTTGGCTTTTGGTTACGCTCTGCTCTCGGCTGTGCTTGGCTTTGCTCTGTGGTTCTGCTGCTTCTATCTGTTTGTGCTTTGCCGCCTGGTTGTCATCACAGCTCCACTCACACTTGAGCTGCTCATATTTTTTCTTACTTTAAAGCCCTGGCTTGAGGATTCTTCAATAAATTTTGGCACTCATGTCTGTGGTATGTGCCGGTGGCAACTCGGCAACTTAATTGGATGCCGTTCAAGTTGCTGCTGCCGTTGGTGCTGCTTTTATGCAGCTCTCTCTCTCTCTTTGTGTCTTTCTCCTTCTGTGGTCATAAATGTCAGCCAGGTCGAGCTGCATTAACTGACCCAGTTGAGCTCTATCCTATGGCTTTTCCCCAAAAACTCTGCTCCCCGCCCCCATTTTTGTCCACGAGTGCCTTTTAATGGGATTATTGCGCAGTGAAACGTATAATGCGTCAGCCTCGACACTCTCTGCGTTTTGCAGCTGCTTTGAGCTCTTGGCAAGAAGTTGCAGTTTCTGCAGCTGCTCCCGACTCTGGCCTTGCTATCGTGTGGGCACTTTTTGGCAGACGCTGCGTATGCGTAATCACCGTGTGTGTGCGTGCAACTGCCCATACATATATAAACAGCTTTCGTACTGCTTACAGATTCTCTTTAGCAACCGCTATCAATTTATATACACATTATTAAGTCTTAATATAAATCTGTATTTATTGCATTACTGCAATGGCCATTAAAATGGGGTTAGGCAATGCAACTATCTGCCCTATCACATAAATTATTTGAGACTCGTCCCACTGATGCAAATATTATTATATGATTATGTTCTATAACTGAAAACAATTTAAAAGCTATGTGGCTGGCTGAATGCCTCGCTGCCTCGCTGCCTCGCCTGTTGTTGACAGACTTATATTGATTCAATTCCTGGCATTATCCAAGAATTTTCATTTGTTTTTCCCTTCCCCAGCCCTCCCAGCACTTGATGAATTTCACAAATCTCTCCGCACTTTTCCATGCTTCATTGCATTCTACTGCGCTTCCACTTGCATTTCCATTTGCATTTCCACCGTCATGCGCCATTAGGAATTTTTTCTCCAACATTTTTCTCTAGCTGCATTTAAATCAGGCCAAAACAATGCTGCAGTGGCAATGAATAGCTGAAGCTATTAACATATTTGACTGCTCGAATGTTAAGAATTGATCATTTAATTTTTATTAAATTCTTCAGTTTAATGCGTTTTTTATTTGGTTTCATTTCGTCTTATGCTTTTTACAATTTGCTTCATTAATAATCATTTTATCATTTAACTTAGAAAATTAATATATATATATGTATATATATATATATATATATATATATATATATATATATATATATATATATATATATATTTAGCTTAATTTATGTTGTGTCTATGTGTGTGTGTGTGTATTGTTTATTGTGTTCTCTCTCAATTATTAATGCTCATTGTTTTTTAAATGTTTTGCTGCCGCGTTTATGGCGCTTTATATATTTATTTATGCATAAACGTTTTGCATTACCTAATTCTAGCTTAATATATAATTTTTATTTATACAGCTAAAATAGTTGTAAATTATGGGCGTATTTTTAAAATGGTTTTTGTTGCTTTTCTTTTGTTTTGTTTTTCGTTCAAATTCATTTTTGAATATTTTTTCTGTGTGTTTATAATATTAGATTCAGTTTTACATTTGCTATGCTAAAATGTATTTTTGTTTTTTTTTTATTTTTATTTTCGTTATTTGGATTTCCATTTCCAGCTTAATTTTCGGTGCATTTTGCCAACTAACTCACTTGGTGAAATTAAAACTAAATAATTTGCTATATACGCAACTGCAAGTGTGTATACATATGTATGTGTGTGTGTATGTGTCTGTGTGTTTACAATTTTTACATCTATGATTTCCTATATATTTATTTCATTTACAATATTCAGTAGTGTGCTTAAATGATTGCTTCTGCATTTCTGTCAGCTTAATGCAGTTTATTAATTTGTTTTTCCTCCTTTTGCTACTTGATTTTAAACCTTACAACGTTTGAAATTTGCTTTCCGTTTTATCCAACTTTTCACCTGCATCGTTATTTTTGTTCCAATCTTGTATTCATATATGTACATAGAAAGTTGAGAGAATTTTTTTAGATGGAGAAAATAATTTAGAAAAAATCGTATCTAAGAAAATAAGAAAATAAAAAATTAAATTACTCAAGGAGAGCATTTTTTGTAAATAATTAATTTTTTTATAAAGACATGTAAGTTATAAATTTATCAAGAAAATGTTATATACACATATTCAAAAAAAATTTAATTGAACATTTTTGCCTGAACAAAAGTAATGAACCCTATTAAAGTTAGTAATCAAAAGAAAACAAAATGCAAAGATATTCCATATTTTTTCCTTTTTTTTTTTGTACATGCATTCAATAAAATCGATGTTAATTTCCTTTCAAATATTTTTAATTGGATGCGAAAAAATAATGTTTTGTTAAACAACAATTTTCGTAAAACTCTATCGCTGTTGGCTTATTTATTGCAATTATTTTCTTTTATTTCTCAAAAAATGCATACAGAAAAAAATAAATGATATATTTCTTTAGAATATTTGAAAATCACTTAAAGCTTTTTATGCTCGAACCCTTCACTTTGCCATTACTAACACACGCTGTTTCCATTCGCAAATTACAATATTTAAACATTATGTTAAAATTAAGCAGTTTGTTCTTAAGTGTCTATTATATAGTTTTTATTCCTACTTATTTACGATATCTACGCTGCTCTGTTACCCGGAAATACCTGTGCTAGTTGAGTGCTAGTACACCTCGTCAAATTGATATAAGACCTTTCCACACGTCAGAAAGGCAGGAAAAACGAAATAAGTTTTGATGTCAAAGTCTTTGCTTAGTACGAATAACAAACACTTTAAATTATTTAAATGCAGCTTGGCGCTGCTGTGTCCCAAATTAAAATTTCATAAACTAGAGCAGAATGCGCAAAGGACCCAAACCCTTAATGCCACTCGCGATTTGGCCGGAACACTTGGCACTCCGGCTAAGACGCTGTGTCGACTGGGCCACTTGAGCCTGTTCCCCATTCGGTACAGGTCGAAATCCTTTGTGTCACCGAGCAGGTGTTGCCACGGCAACACAACAGCACACGAGCGAGCCTGAGACACTTGAGTGTGGAGTGCGCTGAGTTGCCTGCCAATGCAATGGTTGGGGCCATGCCAGCCTGTGACATGTGGGCACAGGCGAGTCGAGTCAATTGTCAGCTAACAACGCCGCCAACAGCAACTCAATCGGCAAGCAACGAAACCAAAAAGAGCCCAGCACTGTGACAAAAAGTAGGCATAGGCCTGGCTGGTATTTCTTTTGGTTTGTTGCTTGTTTTTTGAGCACTTTTTTGCCCAGCTTTTTTATGGCTTCAGACAGAGTGCGAGAGCGAGAGCGAGCGAGCAAACCCTGGCAAGACGCTGAAAAGTTTATATTAAATGAAAAACTTTTTCAATTACATCAACGGAAATAAAATGCTGCCAGCTTGCCACTCGAGGCACGCATAGGCACGACAGCAAAGGAAAAGGAGTCTGCCCCAACAACAACAATAACAACTGCCAAAGATGAAGTCAGAGCCAGGGCCGAAGACCAAGTCTTTTGTTTAGCAGCGCGTCTTTGTTTTTCGGCTTTATTAGGTTAGGCCGGCACTCTGCCCTTTTGTTATACCCTTGCAGCGGGCACAGGCAACTTAGTCAAAAACTTTGCTAACCCAAAGAGCAAAATAAATAGAAGGTCAAAAGGATTTGCAATATCATTAAATTCCAATTTCAATTGTCAATTTCTGTGCAACAAATGAGTTTCTAATTGAACTAAAAATCAATTTTCAATATTCAAATGGAGACAGAGAAATAATTATTTGTCAATTGCTAGCTGGCAGAACTATTTTCTATTTTTTGCAACTCTTGTCTCAGCAAGGGCATATTTAATTCGGTTTGCTAAATTGTTGTTCGTGTTTGTTTTATTTTTTTTTTTTGCTTTCAGTATACGACTCAGATTGGGTCTTTTGTTTGACTCGGCGACTAGGCTGTTTGCTTGCTTGCTGTGGGCAACAAAGGACACGGATACACGTATACGAACACAAGACTAATTCTATTTATGTGCGAGTATGTGTGTCTGTTTGTGTGGGTGTGTGGTCGTCTATGTGTGTGTGTTTACAGAGCCACTGAATCATCTAAGGCAGCATCCTGGCCGGCAGCAGCGCTGCGTTGTCAAATGTCGCTCGTCTCCTGCGCTTCACCCACATAGCCCTCATCCGGGCTGTCCGCCAACGGTCCATTCAACTGCTTTAGCTTCGTTGCATCAGCTGAGTCGTTGCTGCTGCTGGCAGCAGCTTCGGTCTCGGCCATGGCTGCATTCGAGCCGCTGGGCGACGTCTCAGTCTCGTCCAGCTCGGGTATGGTGGCGCTGCCATTGACCGCGCTGCTCTCCAGCGTGGGTGCGGGCGTTGCTGTTGCTGTTGCTGCTGCCGCTGCTGCTGCTGGTGCTGCCAACGCTGGCTGCGGCGGTGGCGGCGGCTGACTGAGGCCGTAGCGCAGCGGCTGCGCATGATAGCCGGGCAGACAGCTTGGCCACTGCTGAAAGGCTGGCAACGGTAGATCGCTGCTCTTGTAGCCCTCGGGTGGCGAGGGGAATTGCTGCTGCAGCTGCAACTGTTGCTGTGGATAGCCCTCGGCGGTGAAGCGTACATTCGGCAGCTGATACTTCTCGTAGGCGACGGCGGGCGCACGCTGCACAAACTCCGCCTCCAAGCTGTAGCGAAGGCTGGCATTTTGTGCGGCTGCCGCAGCCGCAAATTGTTGCTGCTGCTGCTGCTTGTGGGCGCGATTGTGTGGCAGCGTGCGGTAGAAGTTCTGCTGCGGTTGCTGCAGTTGCTGCTGCTGCTGCTGCTGTTGCTGGTGCTGCGGCGCTGCTGCCACCTGTTGCACCAGATGCGCACTGCTATAGTCATACGCATAGCCGTCCTGGCCCAAAAAGCAAACCGGATTCAAATGCACATCCACCTGATGCGGCGATGTGGCCGCCGCCGCTGCCGACGCCGAACTCAACACCGATTTCAGTTGCATGCCACGCGGCAGTGTTGTCATGGCGGCAGCAAAACGTGAGCCCATGCCCAGCATGGCATGCGCATGGGGCGAGGCCGCAGTCAGCTGATAACAGCCCTCGTACTGTCCACAATCGCTGGCCGTTTCATAGTCGGCTGCGCCGTCCAGAGAGACGGCTGTCTTCAGCTTGTGCTTAACACTTTCCGCATCGTTGACCAAATCGGGATTCTTCTCCGGGTAATTGCGCAGCGATGCTGGCGGCGAGCAGTAGGCGGCTGCCAGTCCATTGCTCAACAGCAGCGGTGGCGAGCCAGCAGCCGCTGCAGCTGCTGCGGCATTCATCATATTAACATTCAGCTGCAATTGTTGTTGCTGCTGCTGCTGATGCTGCTGCTGCTGCTGCTGCTGCTGCTGGTGCTGCTGTTGCTGGGCATGGGCGTGCGAATGTGTGTTGGGCGTGGCATAGAGCAACAGATTCTGTTTCATCTGACCGCCAAGAATGAGTCCGCCGGCGCTGCCAACGCCAATGCTGCCCGGACCGCCGGCATTGCCATTGCTGGCCTTGGTGGGTGTCAGATTATCGCCGAGCATCAGGCCAGCGCCGCCATTCAAGCTGTCGCCGTCGTTGAGTATCGAGGCGCACTTCATCATGCCCGTGTCCTGGCTGCTGCCGTTGGTCGAATCGGTGGCGCCCGCAATGCTGGTGACTTGATCGCATTTCTTGCGCTTGGCCGGCTCCGCGCCGCGCTTGCACTTGACCACAATCGTGCAGAGCAGCACGACAAAGATGATGCCGCCGCCAGCGCTGCTGGCCACAATGTAGTTCATGTAGTCGCGCGGAAAGGACACCTCGTTCACCACCGGCGGCTCCTTAATGATCACGCGCAGCGTATAGTTGCTGAACGTGGTGCCAGCTATATTCTGGCCCACGCACGAGAAGGTGCCATTGTCCTCGGCGCCCACATTGTAAATGAAGATCTCGCTGCGCTTCTCCTCGGCACCGCTGCCGCCGCTCTCGTCAATATAGTAGTACATATGCAGATTGTCCAGCAGGCTATCGTTGCTCATCACCTGGCCATTGAACAGCCAGAGCACCTTCGGCTCGGGTATGGCGCGCACCAGGCAGGTGATGGACATGTTGCGACCCTCGCTCACCTCCGTGTAGCTCGACTGCGGACTCACCTCGGGCAGGCAGGCGAGCTGCGGCCGCTGCAGCGACTTGATGACCTGGCCCTTCAGACGTGCCGGCTCCATGCACTTGGGCTCCTCGGCCAGTGGCGTATTGTGGCTCACCAGCCAGCCGTAGACATCCAGCAGGCGGCAGTCACAGTTCCAGCGATTGCTGTGCAGGCTAATGCCATGCAATGACTTCGGCAGAATGTGTCCGCCCTGAATGAAGGCAATGCGATTGCCGTCTAGGCGCAGCCACTCCAGATTGTCCATGCCCACGAAGGCCTCGTTCTCGATGCGTTCCACCTGGCAGTTGGACAACTCCAGTGTGGTTAAGAAAGACAAATGCCTGAACGCCGACGTCTTCAGTTCGCGTATGGGATTGCCGCTGAGCGACAGGCGCATCAGGGAGCTGTAATCCTGAAACGTTTCGCTGGGCACATGCTGCAGCGCGTTCTCGCTGAGGTCCAGCTCCACCAGGTTGGTCAGGCCGCGAAAGGCCTTCTCGTGTATGCGTATCAGCTGATTGCGCGACAAATAGATCTTTTGCAAGTTGAGCAGATCCATGCGCAGAAAGCGCTCGCTCTGCAGCACCTGCAGGCCATTGCCGCTGAAGTTGAGCACCTGTGTGCCCGGGTCCATGCCTTCGGGCAGGCTCGACAGCTGCTGCCCGCCGCACTCGACTGTCTGCTTGCCGCCCTTCCACTTGCAGACGCACACATCCGGCGGACAGGCGACGCTGCACTGCAGCTGCAGCAGCAGCAGCAGCAACAGCAGTTGGGCTAATAGTAATTGCATTTTGCTCTACAGTTTCTTGTTATTGGCTTTGTCTAAGCGTTTCGCTTGTTTTTTTTTTTAATTTTTAAGCTTGTGCGACACTTGGTCACGTTTGCATGTCAAATTAGTAAATGAAGGTGACGTTTTTAGAGTTCCTCTTCCGCGTCACGCAAATATCATTAGCGACATCCAAGCACAGTCGCTAGAATATAACGTTGATCTCGCTACGGCTACAGCTACAGCTACAGCTTCAGCTTTAGCTACTCAGTCTCTGTCGTCTCGACTTGGCAGCAGAATCACGTTGCCTACTCGAGTGTCAGGCAATAAAAGCGTTTCCCGCTAGCCCGTTGCTGCTGCTGCTGTTGTTGGGCCGCCATTATAATCAGAGTGCGAGTGCTCATCATTGTGTCCACGTCTACGTTGCTGTCATTGCTGACTCGCTCTCGCTCCCACTCCCACTCCCCGCTCCCTTGCTTGCTCGCTCTGTCACTCTTGCTCTGTCTCTATCTGGTGTCTTTTGTATTAATTTCATAAAAATGCCAGTCGCTTGATTTTTGCTTGGCAGCGCCTGTAAGTAGGCAATGCTTTTGTTAGTGCCGCCTCTTGGGTCCTGCGGCTTTGCTTTGCTTCGCTTTTACTCAACTTTATTCTACTTTAGCGCTCTTTTCCTTTTCTGCCTTAGCCCTTCGCGTTATAGCCGTTGACTGAAAAGGTTTTTGTCCTTAATGAAATTATAACGCAATTCACTTGCTGTTGCTGTTCCTGTTGTTGCCGTTGTCTCTGCGGCTGCGGCTGCTGATGTTGCTGTCGTTGTTGTTGTTGTTGTCGCTGGCAATGCCTTGCCGCATGCTTGGCATTGTGTATGCGACACGTGTACAGATTTATGCTATTGTTTTTGTTGCTGCTGCTTAGAGTTGCCTTTCTCCTTAAGCGCTGGAAGTAAATTTAAGCAAGCAAAATAAAATGGTTAGTTTTTATAGCCAACTTTTAATTAAGCTCAAATATTTACTTAAAATATAAACAATTAATTTTTATTAAATTTTAATATTTATTAATATTTTAAGTACTTAATTATATATATAATTAATTAATTATATATAGTTATATTTGATTATATATGCATTTTAATTTATTTAATGAATTTTTATTTTTTAATTCTTATTAATTTTATATGAATTTTAATGCACTCAACATAAATAAAATAATATATTGAATTCATTAAAATTACAAAAATGTATATTAAACATCTTAAAATGAATTTTAAATTTTATTTAAAAACCTCATTTCATCTAGTTTAACAGTTTTCTAATTTATTATAGTTATTTAATTTTTTGATATTCAGTAAGCTGTGCCCTTTTATGATAAATTATTATAGTTTGCTAATCTTGTGAAGATAATATTTAAAATTTATAAACGTCAGACTGAATTATTGGGACGCAACATGAATTGTTGTTGACTTTAGGCTCACTAAAAAACAGAAACTAAACTAAAACAGAAACCGTTTAACAAGTTACTCCGAAGATAATGGCATAGACCGATCAACTAAAGTTAAGTAGAAACATTGTTAAATATAAAACACTTTTAGCTTCAGTGTAATTTAAACTCATCTCATAGTGTCTTTAATAAATTTTACTTATTGAGTTTTATTCACAGCAAAGTTAATTTAAATTTTACATTTCAAAAGTTGTCAACTGCAATTATAATCTATCAGTATAATTTATAAATAATTTAAATAAGTGAAACATTTATTTAAGACACAAAAAGACAAAAAAAAAATAAATAAAAAATTGTATTTTTGATTTTACAGCAAAATGCGCTTGGCTCGCTTAAGAATACATCCGCCGGCAACATAAATAATAAGTTCGTCATGTTTGATTGAATATTTAATACATGCTTTAATATTATTTTGTTTATAGCTTCCTTTATTTGGCGCTGTTATTGCTATAATTACATTTTTTCATTTTAACGCGAGATGAATTGTTACGTGTCAATACACGTAAACACACACAGATACACACGCACACATCTATAGAGCTGTTGCTGAGTACGTTTATTTGCGTACTTTATGTCAGGTGATTTATTTTTAATAACTTTTCGCTGGCAGTTGGCAAATATTTCATCGACTGCACTTGATTATTAATGTACTTTCGCTTCGCGCTCGACTCGGAGTGCGTGTGTTTGTACATAATGAATCCGTCGGATCGATTTCCACTTGAAAGTAAAATGGCAAAAACATGAGCTGGATAAAATTATATTTCATATCCTATCGCCAATATGCAAATGCGGCCAAATGAAAACGAAATCCAAAACGATAATGAAAATGAAACTGAAAATCGCACAGCTGTAAAAACCAATTCCATTCACTTTGTTGCCTTTAATTGCATTTCATGTTTTGTTAATGCCGCGAGCCAGCCAAATGTGTACATAGCTGTTAATTTTTCTGCTTGGCCCCGGGTTGGACTGAGCTGGCCTGGACTTGTTTCGGTTTGGGTTTATTATTATATCTCATTGTGCTGATTGCCTGCTCATTATTGGCCTTAATATGACTTGACAAGGGCACAGCTGTGGGCTGGCCATTAAATTACCTTTGGCGACGGCGACGGCAACGGCAACGGCAACGACAACGGCAAAAAGCTGACATTTATATTTGCGCAAATTAATCAAAGGACATTAAAATGGCAAAAGACAAAGGACTTAGGAAATGACAGCGCAAGCAAAGTAAACCAAAATGTAAATAACCAAAAGCCCAGACAATCGAATGAAGATGACAGCTATAAATCATGCAACATATTGCATTGTAGCCAATTTAGGTAAATAACATATAAATTATACTGGAAATTGAGCCAACTGCAAGTAGATAACCAGCCAGCCAGCCAGGCAAATAGACAGCGAGACGCCGTCAAAGGAAATTGTTCGAAAAACAAGGCAAACAGCAATTGTGTTATTCGATCCAATGGATAAACGAGAACAGGCAAAGAATTTCAACAAGCCACGCGCTTCATTAGCCACCCACAGCAAGCGGAACTGGCTAACTGATTGACTGACTGAGTGACTGACTGCTTGGCTGACTGACTGAGTGAGTGGCTGTTGCCGGCTGGCGCCAATGCAAATGTGTAATGGATACTTGGCTATGCCATCATTTCGTTGGCTAACAAATTGACTTGATTTGCTTTTGCCATGGCAATGGCAGCACCACGACTTTCACCTGAACCGAGCCTTTTTCAACATTATTAATAACCAGGCATTAATCTTGGCCACGTTGTCGTTGGCGTTGTCTATGCGCAGCAGCTGCCTTGGCCTTTTAGCCAAATGCTTAGCGCTTAGCTTGTAATTGTTGCCGAGATTCGTTGTTCGCGAAACAAGGTAAACTTGCTGGCTGGGTTGGGGTCTCTGAAAAATTCATGAACTGTTTAATTAATGAGTTATTATTGCATATCAGAGCAACCCAGAAACCACTTAGAAACAATTGTAATCGGGCAAATCACGTCAATCAGTTTACAAACAAATTGCTGCAAATTCAACTGCCGGAAAATTATATTTTTAATGCTTCTCAATAATTCACTAGCTTTAAATGGATATTGCCGTTATTTTTATGCTGTTTTACTTAATCTTTCTTTTTTATTTTATTATTTATTTGTCATTTGTTATTCATTCCACATTTGCAATTCTCGCAAAAGAGCTTTACTCAGCGCCTGTTTTCTTTTTCTGTTTGACAAAATACGATTAAAAACATTTTTGGACTAGAAACAATTTGAGCATAAAATATAAATGTATAAATTAAGAGAGAGATATATCAGAAAATGTCCATATTGAACATTCCCATAGTTGATGCTAAATTACTTTGCACAAGCGCACGTAAATGGGGCCACTCCTTAAATATGCATGAATTTCTATTTGAAAATTGCTTGTGAAAAGGAATACAAAAAATATATATATATATATAAAAATATCAATTTGCAAATAGACAAAAATATTTTTGTTGCCTGTTTGTTGTCGGTTGTTGAGTTGTGCTGAAAGAAACTCTAATTTAATTTATGCTCGCACAAACACAAGACATTTCTCATTTGGCAGCAGTTTGTACACATTTTTGACATTTTCATTTGTCAGTTATGAAGCAGAGAAACACGCACATACGACTCCGACTCCGGACTCATTCAACACGGAACAGTGCGTGGGCGGATGTCTGTGCGTCTGCGTGTGCGTGTGCGTGTGCGTGTGCATGTCCTCCTGTCCTTATATCCTTATCACAAAATGATTTGACAATCGAGAGCAAACAGGCAGTTGAACTGTTTGTCCGTGTGTCTTAGAAATATCTTCTATTCTACGATAGAAACGACTGTTGAGTAGAGACAGATTTGTACCTTTCACTCAGCTAGCGAGCGTAACAGGCTCACTAATAAATAAACATTTCTTTCATTTTATTTCATTTTATTTTTCATTTTATTTCATTGATCCCATGACTCCTGTGGCATGGTCCTTTAAACTGCTGTCATTGAAAATAATTTCAATTCCATTTCAATAGGCATTCACACCAAATTGGCATTTGCCAGCAGACATAAGCAATTGTCTTTCAGTGCCCCCTTTTTCATGGCGCGTTAATAGGTAACGCGCTGGTAATACGCGGCGTATGCTTAATGCATAAAAAGTGTCTGTGGCAACGGCAACGGCACGTGTCGTGACTTTACCCACACAAACACACACACATACAGCGACTGTCTGCGTATTTCAATTATTTTCTTTTTTATTCAAGAGCCGTAGCGACTTCAGACCGCGCACTTAATTTCGTTGCCTTCTTATTTCGCTGGAGCAGCGCTTAAGTAATGCCGAGTTCTTGTGGCTTCTATAGATTTGCGAGCTGCACAGCCGGCTAAAGTGCCAGCTAATACGCTTAAACTTAATTAAAAACTTATCAACAGCTGCGGTAAACAATTTGGCTGTCTCCTGTCTCATGCCTCATGCCTCATGCCTCCTGCCTTCTCTCCCCAGCCGTTGCCTCCGGCAGCACAGACCAAGCTTATCACCACCCAAAGATATGCTGAAATCATCGGAGAAAACTACTGGCAGCTGAATCAATTGCCGTTTAAAGAAAACTAAGCTGCTGTTAGGTAAGCCAAAATTGGATTTGTTATACATGGAATAAATGTGTCAAACAATTAAGAAATGCCAAAGGCTGCAATACCTATTCAATTCATTTCCTTGCCAAGTGGGAATCTTTAAGCAAATTGAACAAATAATTGAATTGACAAGCTTTGAGAGTGAGGCTTAATTGCAGGGCATAATAGTCGAGTTGTTTCTCTAAGCTCTTTTAAATATATGTAAAGGCAAATTTAGAAGCTAACAACTATGGCTTATGGATGGATGTGGCAAAAACAGTCTCAATTTGTCATCTGAGAGTAAAGAATATTGATGTAGATTCCTTTCAAAACAGAGAATTCCATATAAATTTAACTACAACACTTGAAGTGCCCAGCTCAAAAATTACCTGGCCTACCCTTTACAACTATATAATACATTGATATATATGAAAGAACTTTGAGTTTCTGTGAATCATTCTTCAGCAAGACAGCTAGAGCTCTCACTCAAGCAAGAGGATTTCTGTCCCACTCATAAAGGTCATTCCCCTAACAGTTCTAATTTATTACGTATTTATTTATTTATTTTGATTTCCAAATATTTAAAATAAAACGCAAAGTTAATGCTAGAAGAAGCAGTTTGAAACCTTTAAACAGCTCGTTTTATAAGTATTCTCTTGTGAGTGGCAAAAGTTCTTACAAAATTGATTGTAGCAAAATCTGAAGTATTTTGATTTTTAAGTAAAATATTTTGAAAAGCAATTAATTAATTTTCATTATAATTTAATTAGGTTTTCTTTGTAGGCAATCCTCACTGCTTCAACGAGTGCAAAAAGTTGCTGAAAATCCATTTTCTTTCAC